ACTGATGTCCCATTCACATTTTTTGTATAATCTTTGATGTAGTATTTTTAAGAATATCTTTAAAGTGTGACTCATCAGGCTAATGAGTCTGTGATCCTCACATCTTTTTGCATTGACTTTCTTGGACAGGGGAATAAAGGTAGAGCGTAACCACTGTTGAGGATAGCAGCCAGTTTCATAAATTAAATTAAATATTTTGTCTAGTGCTGAAATTCCCCTTTCATCTAGTAATTTGAGTATTTCTGACGGGATCTCATCTGGTCCAGGTGCTTTATTGTTTTTTGAATTTAATATTGCTTTTTCTATCTCCTCTTTGGTGATTGAAGGACCAGTCAGCTGGTCGTCTGTATAAACTTCACTCATGGGTCTTTCGTCATGGAAGAGCTCCTGGATATAATTTTCCCATATATCAATTTTCTCTTTTTCACCCAGCACTATCTGGTTATCCTGATTAACTATGGTCTTCGTTTTCTGTATATTCCAGCAGTCTCCTTAAGCTTTTTATGTAAATTACGGTCGTCGTGTTGTCTTTGTAAATGTTCTAGATCGATACATTGTTGCTTAAGCCATTCATTTTTTGCTATTCTTATTTTTGCTTTTATTTGCCTGTTAATGTTTTCATACATATTGCTGCCATCTTGGTTATTCTTGTGTCTTCGTCGTTCTTCCATTAGTAATAGTATTTCTTCTGTCATCCATTTTTGCTTCTTGTTATTTCGTTTGTACCCTAAGTTGTTTTTCATGATGTCTGTTACAGCACTTGTAATCGTATTCCATGTTGGTGTTATATCTTCGGTAATGTTTGTCGTTAATATTTGAATTTGTGCGTTTATTTCATTGCTTATTTTTGCTTGTATCACTGGGTCTTTCAGTTTATCCAGTGCTATCTGTTGTTGAGTTTCAGGCTTGTTCTTGCATGAAAGAGCGATCTTTATGACGGCCACTAATAGTACGTGGTCAGAAGGGACATCTGCTCCAGGGTATGTGCAAGCTCTTTTGACAGTTGTGCTGAATCTTCCGTTTATAAGAATGAAGTCTATCTGGTTTCTTATTATGTTATGAGCTCTATCGGCTGGAGATTTCCAAGTATATAGGCGACGGGGGTGGAGTTGGAACCATGTGTTGGTAACTCTCATGTTTTCTTCTTGACAAAATTGTATAAGTCGGTCGCCCCTTTCGTTCCTTGTTCCAAGACCATAGGGTCCAACTATGTCTTCAAAGCTGCCCTTCCCTATTTTGGAATTAAAATCTCCCATAATTATGTTGACATCATGTTTCTTTGTCAATTTAAGTAGTTCTTTGATTTCACTATAAAAGTTTTCCACTACTTCATCTGATGCGTCTGTAGTTGGTGCATAAACCTGTATGATGTTGAGATTATTTGGCTTCGCTTCAAGTTTTACTAAGGCTGTGCGGTCGGAATATGGTACAAACTCTGTGACAGCTCTCACCAATCTTTTAGTTATCATAATCCCGACACCTTTTCTATGATCGCGGTCATCATTGCCTGAGTAAAAGAATGTTCCGCTTTCTGTAGTGCATTTATCGGATCCAGGCCACCAGGTTTCTGAGATCCCAAGAATATCTAGATCTAATCTGCTCATTTCTTGAGTTAGGTTAGCCAGCTTCCCGGCTTCAAATAAGCTGCGTGTATTCCAGGTGCCTATCTTTAATGTCTTTCTTAAGTTTGCTCGTACGTTTGAAACATTCAAGACCGCTCCCCCCGGAGATCCGATTGGGGAACTATTTATACCTCCGGATAATTTTGAGTTGAATGTATTCATGTGATTGTCTTGGGAAATATAATGAAGGTGGTATCCCGTTGCCTTCCTTCATGCCGCTGCAGGGCTTATCAAATCAATATCAAATAATAAAGAAACCCGCCAATGGTTCTCTTATTGACAAAATTATATTTAAATTTTTTATCATAAAGAGAAAATAACAACCAAATAGTAGGTATGTACGCATTGGCTACTTACTTATTGATTCTGAAGCATCTCTACACTGCTAACTGAAGTATGTTATGGGTTCCATTAGAATACGTCATGATCAATATGTTCTGACAGTCTTATATCACCAGTAAAATAATAAAAGTTACTCAAACTATGCACTTTAAATGTTATTTGTTTAAAATTTAAATTAAGCAATATTTTTTAAGGTTAGAAAACCAACCGCTTTTGACAGATAAAACTCACAAAGTCGCGTTTGTTAAAGAATGTTCACGTACACAATTCACTATGTGATGAGTTTTTGCATGTCTATGAATTGGTAAAAGAACTTGATGTATATTTTGTATCTTTTTTTGTGATGACTTGAAAAGTTTTTACAAACAAAAATAATGGTAATATGAAAGAATTGCACTAGACTTAGTAAAATATGTAAAAATCTCAAAAGGTGTAAATTTTGACTGGGTGAGTTTTTGCACCAAGCCCACGATATAATATTTTTTCTCAGTTCGTTGTGTTGTCTTAATGCCTGCCAAATAGTCAGATATTTTTTTTCCATACCTGTATAGCAATGATGCCCTATAAGAAGTATTCACTTCTGTCGGTACTCCCTAAGTGTCATGAATCATTTTTTAAATTGCAGTCATAAGCGGCTAGTTTGGGAAAGGTATTGGACATTTTTATTAATAACTTTTTTGTCTTTTAAAACTTCTTTAGATTTCTTTATAAAAAAAATGATAGTATTATCTGAAGTTTTTTGGATGCACAATTTTCGAGAAAAATCGATTGGTACTTTTCATGTATCAATGCATACGTTTTCATTTACTAACAAATCAATTTCTAAATGTAAAAGGTTTATTAATATTTATATATTATTGTCAAAGATATTTTGTTTATTTTCCATGGCCATCTTTCACAATTACAAATGCATTTGTTACATGAAAAGTACGAATCGATTTTTCTAGTCATAGGGACTTCGAATATGAGCGTAATTTTTCTTATAAAAAAAGTTATGAATAAAAATGTCCAATACTTTTATGACTGCAATTTAAAAAACGTATTCACGCCAAACGATTGGGTATATTCCACTAAATAAATATACACAATGTTATCACTTAAAAGACACTTATTGAAGATATTACAATTAAACTGATCTTAGGGCGCTATATTTAAAGAGCTCTAGCTTCCTTAGGAAGCATTTTTCGAAATGTGATTAAAGTCAAATCGACATAAAATAAGTGTTTATGGGCATCCTATATACATGGCTACTGTACAAATAAGCACACTTGGTCATATTATATTATTAATTTAAACTTGTAAAGTAAAAAAATATTCACATGTACTTTATCAGCAAAATAAAAAATTTAATCGATAAAACAGGGATTTCATATTTATATTTTAAAATTTTATAGTCGTTTATAGACAGATATTTAAAAATAGAAAGTTTTTAATTAAAATGATTAAATACACACTGTCATCATAATGATTACTCTTTTTTTTTTCATTAGAGAAGTCTGTGAGTTTATTTCAGCTAATAAAGGCCAGTTTCACAATCAGTGGTTAACCCTAGGAGTTAAATAACCTTTAGCCCTAGTTTAACTGACAGATGCCGTTTCACATTCACAGATTCGGTTATGGTCACTTAACCTTAGGTTTCATTTTATTTTTTTTTGTTGGTAGGAAATTATGGGCAATAATCAGATTTTTATGGAATATTGTCAGTAGATATTATGAACAAGATGAGTTATGACACATTTGTCACGTTCGATCGAAAAAAATATATAGCATTTTTATATATAGAAAAAATCTTCATAGTCTAGTTCTTCAAAATGATTTGTTCTGTGCCTAATGATTCTTGGTCTGCTGGCTTCCTCATCACTGCTAAAAGCATTTACATCATATAAATCCATATCTGATTAATTAATAATTTACGTGTCTGTCTACACCATTGAGCAAAAAGACAAAAGAGAGAATCTAATCCTTATGAAAAGGAGACCAAAAAAGTGGCCTCTGATGGCGGACATATCCGGAAATGCGAATGCGCCAAATTTAAATTTTCCGACACTTATTAACAGTAGCTATATAATATTTTTCAGAATGTGTCTTAGACGAGAAAGTGTTAATTAATTATTAACGGTAATAGTCTAAAATGCGACACAATTGTTAAAAAACTTCAATATACATAAGATTTCATGTGACATTTGGGACAAACAATAACATAACCCAACTAAATTTGATGTCAAACAAGGAGAGAGACTCTCTTTCCTTGTTTAATGTGGCCTCTAAAGATCGCACTTCTTGTCTATCAATATTTTTGCCCCCACTACCTTTACATTCCCTCTTTTGTCTTTTTGCTCGATGGTCTACACTGTCAGTGTCAACAAAACGAAATTCGAAATTAGGTTAGGATGTCCTGGTCAAGCTCTAAACCACAGCTTTTATTTTAGGTTAAAAATTTTGTAGGTTAACCACAACCTGAGCTGTTGACCTTATGTTGTGAAACCTATATTTCAGGGTAACCGCTGGTTATCTCTTAACCGCAAGGTAACTTTACTTTGTGAAACCGGCCGTAATAATGAGTAGTAGGAATTTTTATGTTGTTTGTAACAGTAAAAATAAATTCACATGCTTCAGCGTTTCCCATAAAGACTGAAGACCTCCAAATTATTAGGCGTAGTCCACACCTTTTTATACACCTTCACCATTGAACCTTGAACGGTCGACACTTTTGAGATGGCCCGAAAGTACGCCTCGTTCCCTGCAATAATTCTTTTTGAGATCTCGCGACGCTACTTGTGTAAGTGAATGTACTATTCCAGACATCTGAAACGTGCAACAACTTCAAAGTTATAATGTTCAAAGGTAAAGTTTTGGGAGTTTCTTTAAGTTTGAAATTTGATTTTCTCCTCGTTTATTTTTAGGCAAGCCGATTCAATCTTTTCTTTAAAATTAAACAACATTTTCTTACGCGATACGAGGTTGCACGTTGTATGTAAATTAAAACTCATTAAAATTAGAGAAAACAAGCAGAATCCAAATTGATATAAAACTTACCTGCAATATATAGAAGGTGGTTATCATAATAAGAATAGAGACCAATCGCTGTTCCGAGTACTTTAATATTTTCTGTTAATTCTACAATGCACGAGACTTCTATATCTTCCGGCATTACCAAGACCCTCTCAGATTTAGGCTTATCTAAATCATCGTAGTATATTTTTTGTAAAGCTAAAACATAAAATTAGATTTTATTGTAATGTTATATCTTTCCAGATTCAATTATTTACCTAAGAACCATTTATCCTTATCTTGTGCTGAGAGCGTAAGGAAGACAAATGATTTTGGAGGCCAGCACGTAGTATCCGGAGTAACTTCTACTTTTAATACGAAAAGTATATCGCTGTTCGCTATTGGTATTCCGATTTCTGTGGACAGAGGTTCTGAAATGACTTTTCCGTGAGTGTTACTAGGTTTAAGTTCAAAACTTTCAAGAAGAACTGCCGACTTTTCCTTTGGTGAAGCTGAGAAAATTTTTATAGCTTTGTCTGTTAGAACAGCATATCGCTTTTCCCACGTGTTAACCTTCCTAAAAAAGAATAAGTTAAAAAAATAAAAGTTTAAGATCTCTCCTCCCTCTCCACATGCCTCATTCTCTCTTTGTAACCCACACTATCCCACCATTTACTCAAAAATGATAAATAAAGTAGATAAATTTTTCATGCAACCGTCTAACAAATCGGTTACTTATACATTCATCCATCCATCTTCGGAACCATTCATAGTTTCGCGCTAAGATTAAACCATTACTCTATTTATGCATATTATATTATATATGCATGAAAAACGATCTCTATAATTAGTCAATGAATGTATTCTTCTAAAAATACTTATATTCTTCTACTTTTTATAGTTCTTCTAAATATACTTATATTCTTCTACTTTTTATAGTAGTGCATCAACAGTAATATTTTGCACATACTTTATATACTAATTATTAGAGTTTCCTCTGCATGGTACCATATCCTATTAGAATTTTTTGTAATATTTATACTCGAATTAAAAGATACGTTAAAACAGAAAAGATACACAGGTCCATAGATTTCTGAAGTATTTTTAAAAATTCGGTATTATAAATTTTTGTTATCTGCAAAGGGTTGTACAAAAAGGGTGTACATATGTGGGAAATTATCAGTATAATTTCAGTGTATGTGGACTGTATTATATAGGGCTGGTTCAAATAAATTAGAATATGTAGTAAAGGGTATACAGACAATAGCCAATTAAGTTTATACAAACTCTTACCAATATTTTTTCTGCTCCACACAATCGCGGTTTTTCTTCTCATGCGGAATCTGTCCGGGCACCGGTTTCTAAATACGTGTTTCGCGGTACTTACACTGATATCACGAGATAGAACACACTTTGCGTGTGTACACGATTTAAAATAGTATATGCGGTATTTTCCGCGTAACTAAAGCAAGAGAGAGATAATTAGTTAGCGGCAGTTAACAGTAGTGAGTGTCTCTTTTTAGCGATAGAGAGAGTGCTGTCCTCAACGACAGTCAACAGACAAGAGAGGTACGTCTGTACCAAGCGGTAGGTAACAAGCAATAGTGAACGACTGCCCCTAGCAGCAGTCGACAATCAAGAGAGAGTCTTTCTTCTTTGCTATTTTAAAACTGTCTGTGTTTCTAAAGGAGGTTGAACTGAAGTAGAAAAGGTTATCAAGGGTTGGACTAAGTAATAATTGTAAAATTGTGGTAGAAGGATAGTTAGTAATACAGCGAATAATGACATGATTTTTCGCATATGAAAAAATTGAACAGGGTAGTTTCCCGTTGATATCCTAAAAACATCATGACTCGATGGTAAGAATATAAGACTGATCTCAAACTTATATCTATTAGACAGGGTTGAGTATTGTCACCGGCATTATTTAACATATACTCTGAAAACATCTTTAGAGAGGCCTTGAACGAATTAGATGGGATTGCTGTAAATGGCCAACTTATAAACAATATTAGATATGCAGACGATACAGTGTTGCTGGCGGATATTGCGCAGGGGCTCCAAAGGATGATGGATAACGTTGTAGAAGCATGTAACAAATACGGGCTAAAACTACCTTGCAAGAAGACAAAAATAATTCATTAGTAAGAACACCAACATAAACGCCCAAATTACAACAGGCGATAAACCGTTAGAAAGAGTGGAAAATATATGCCATTTGGGCTGCGATATTAAGGATACTTGAGATCACAGCTACGAAATAAACACTCGTATTGAAAAAGCCAGAAGCTCTTTCAACAGCCTTCGGAAGATTCTCTGCAACTTATCTTTAAGTATCAATATACGCATAAGAATTCTTAGATACTACGTCTTTAGTGATCTCCTCTAGGGAGTAGAAAGCTGGAGCCTTACAGAAGATGCCATAAAACGATTAGAGGCATTTAAAATGTGGTGCTACCGACGTATGTTAAGGGTCTCATATATACACCACACAAGTAACATAACTATTCTCTAGAGGCTAAGAAAAGACAAAGAAATTATTAACACCATAAAAAACAGAAAATTGGCTTACTTCGGCCACATCATGCGTAATGATAAATACAGACTTCTACAGTTGATTCTATAAGGCAAGATTGAGGGTAAGAGAGGCCCTGGACGTAGACGTATATCCTAGCTGGCCAATCTTAGGAAGTGGACTGGTCTACCGTCAAGTGATTTATTTTGAGCTGCTGTAAATAGAATAAGATGGGTCAATGTGGTCGCCAACCAATCGCCATCTCTAGAAGATACGCACATTTAGAAGAAGTAAAGGGTTTTATTCAAAATAGATTCTACATTTTTTACTTAGAATATCGGAGGAAATCAACATAATCTTGTCTTAAAGGAAAATCAAGAGATCAAACTATGTGACGACTACAAATACCTAGGAGTGAAGATCACTCAGGACGGAAAATTAGATGCAGCCATTAAAGAACGAAATACACAGGGAAGGAAAGGCATAGCCTTACTGAACAGTGTACTGTGGGATAAAAACATCTCCAAGGAAAATAAAAGAAGAATATACAACGCCATAATAAAAAATATCACAACATATGGATGCGAATTGTGGCCCCTAAAAGACAGAAGAGAGAAAATGCTTAGAGCAACAGAAATGGACTTCTGGCGCCGCTCAGCGGGAATCTCTAGACGCGACAGACTAACAAATGAGAGACTCCGAGAAATCATGGGGGTTACACATAATATTGTTGATAACATCAAAACGACTCAACTCAGATGGCACGAACACGTAAGGAGAATGCCGGAGAATAGAATATCAAGACAAATTCTTGAATGGCAACCAAGAGGTAGGCGGAGACCCGGAAGGCCTAGAAGAAGTTGGAGAGGAGTTTATATATTATATATATATATATATATATATATATATATATAATATATATATATATAGATTCTACATTTTTTAAATTGTATCCTATTATAGGATACATCATATACATAACTTAAGATTGTGCCATAAGGGTCGAGTGGAAAAGATTTGCCACTCTACTGATTTTTAACAAATTGTTGACGTTTCAAATGAGATTCTAAAACCCATTATTATTTTTTGTTTTCTACATATTGCACCATCGGTTATTTTGTGCCACGCTGCTACCTTAATCAATCGGTTTCCATAGATTTCCTTAACTCTTGGATCCACTTTTCGTTTTTCCAACACACTATTGTCTTAATACTTCCTACTCACTCATGTCATTCTCCATCCCATCCCATGCAATTTAAATATCAAAATACTATTTAGTTATGTAAATATTTTCATTGAATTATCGTTTAAATTGTTTAAGCTAAAAATCTCTTTATTTTATTGTTTTCTGTAATCTACTGCAACTTACCCAGGTACTTTAATCCATCCCTCGATGTTAACATCTTCTTTAGAATTATTAATTTCAACTTTTTCTTCACTGGTTGGTAGGCTTTCTTTATAATGTTTGGCATAAACAGCGGGCAGGCCACAAGTATTTTGAACGTCTGATTTACATTCCATATGAACATGGATAGTACATTCAGAACAAACTGCTGCAGTACGTCCTAGTGAAATAGGTTCTGAGCATCCGGAACATTTGGTCGATGATCTGCTAAATTTAGATTCAAACCTGAAAAAGAAAATAAAAAAAAAACTTAATGCCTTATTTGGTACGACTACTGGGGATGTTGACAATTTATATAGTACAATATATAACGTGGACTATAATATACAGATTATGGCTAAATATTATATTAAAGATATTTATTTGATTTATTTTATTTTAGGCGTAACACAGATCGCAACAGTCACGTTTTCTACTGGAGAGTATGTAGGTACGAGTGTGTGATCCTGGTGTGTCCTAAACGTAGGCAAGTTAAGACTTATTATGTAAGACGATTATTAGCACTGCGTCACGCGCCTCCTCTATCCGCCCCTTCATTGTCACGAATGCCAATATGGAATGAGATCCATAGATTAAGAGTGATTTTCATAAATAACGTGTAGCTCTGTTTTATTAGTTATTCGATGGAATGGTTAGGATATAGACGCTATTTTACAAGAAAAGAACTAAGAGGATCAGTAAGAAGAATTCTTTTGGAATATTTGAGGATTTTACATCTTTAAGCGCACAGCAAAGTATAAACAATTCAGCTTTACAAATATTTGAAGTAGGTGGCAGTTTACAATTATATATTGATGTTGGGGTAACAAATACCGAGTCAATGCTACTAGCTGATCTAGATGAATCATTGAAGATGTTTGTACATTTTAAATGTTCGGTTTCAAAAATCTCGTTCAGCTTGTCTCTTATTAGTAAGGTGTTGCTTTCTTAAGAGAAGCCTGTTAAGGAGATGTTGTAATTAGACATATCTGTCAAGAACGGTGTCGTTTGTTAACAGTATAATACTTCTGAAATACATTACAGTTTTGTAATGAATTGGCAAGAGGACGTTGATTGACATTCAATAAATTAAGAAAATTAGTTTTTCATGTTTCGACAAAATCTATATTTATGCGTGGTCAACAATTTTCAGAAATACCTTTTCAGAAATTCCTGCCTTGGAAGGGAACCTTAAGGGACCTATCTGCATGTGCAAAAAAGAAACAAATTTCTTGTTTAACTTTCCGATTTCTGTCTTCAAAGGTCATCAACTGCAAGACCTAGCTAACTCTTTGTCCCCACAATAAGACTTGCCTAAATAGAAGGCACTGTTACTGTTTCTTAATATTATTCTGAAGCTGTTTTCTTGTGGCATCTTAATGCAATTTACTATTTTTTTGGAATAAGCTACAATTTTACTTTAAAATTAATAATAAATTAAACAAATTTTGTTTTTGTTGGTTGGTAAAAAATTCTTCTAATAATTTAATTTCATCGGACTCGTTCATACTGAGTTCATACTGAATCAAGACATATATTATACATTTTAAAGTAGATCACTTTAAAATGATATTGCTAATATTTTGAGTTGTGTTCCTAGGAAAACTTTATTGTAAGACATTTCATTCGATTATATAAAATCAACTTTAACTTAGGAATATCATTTAGAAAAATCATAGGATGTGATTTGTCTGTAAAAAGTCAACCATGCAATGATGAAAATAAAATTATTCTGTTAGTGATTCCATAGTAAATCACGAAGAAAAAACTAGTAAAAAAACCTCATGATACTATCCCGACATGGTAAGTATTTGTTCTTACATTTATTTTACTCTCAATATTAACACCAAACTCTGATCGATTTTATATATATGATATTTTAAAATGTAAATGATGTCTCCTCCATATATGCTCTTGACTTACTAATAGTCAATATTATTGATTTCTATTGATTTTCTCTTTTAATATAGGTAACCAGATCCTACTGCATTTGTCAAGGAATTTGCGATGAAATTGGATTCATCTAACATAATTAGAGCCGCTTTGTCGCTTTTTCTCTTACCATCTGTTCCTTTCTGGACTATCAAATTCTCTCAAAGATTAATGTTCATTTATTCTAACATTTAATCCTTTTGATGTTTCATCTAAATAAAAATATAAATACAATTTTTGTTCTATCTTGTTCATTTTTAGGTTTAGATTGAGATCAAATAGATTTCAATGTGTTTCTTGTTTTGAATGTTGTTGAAACGTAGAATTTACTTCCTATCTTTTTTCCGATAATCCTTTTATGGATGGTATTGTTATTTATATTATATGATTATCCTCGTATTATTTCTTGTGAATGTCATGGGATCCCGTTCTAAGTTGTTCTGTTCCATTCGGTCTATTCTTGAAAATTCCTGATTTATAAAAGACAAAGGATAATCATTTTTTATTAAAACAGATGTTAACAAATGTTTTTCTTCTAAGAACGAATTTTCGTGAGAACAAGAAATTTTGGGTTTATCGTATCTGGATTTCATGATTCCTTTTTTTAACATTGATGTTGTAATTTGATTTGATATTTAGATATCTGTTAGTGTGTGTTAGTTTTTTATACACTGCAGTCTCATATCCAGTATCCTTATTTGAGATTAAATCGTCAAAAGGTAGTGTGCTATTATATTCATTTTCCATAGTAAATGTTATTGTCTCTGGTTTATACTTAAATTATTTAGGAATGTGTCCAACAACTCTGATCAATGAGGCCATATTGAGAATAAATCATTTACATATCTCCACCATACTATGGGATTTAAATTTTATTTAGAAATAATATTTGTTTCGAAATCTTCCATAAATATTTTCGCTAATAATGGAGATAAGACAGAGCCCGTTGCTAGACCAAAATTTTTTCGATAGAATTCATTATTTAGTTGAAAATAGTTAGTATCAGTACATAATGTCAGTAACTCCATTATAGCTGATACCTTTAGTCTTGTTCTAGTTGCCAATGTATCATCATTCTCTAATTTTGTTTTGATTATTTTTAAAGTCGTATCTAGTGGCAACATTGTAAATATCTACTTAGGTCAAAACTTACTAAAATATTAAATTAAATTCAATATTTGATCATTTATTTAAAAAATGTATTCTTTATAAATGTGTCATTATTATTTGCAACTCAGATAATATTTAATAAAAAATTTTACAGTTCACTACAAGGAGGATTCATGGTACTACAAATAGATCTAGGTGGTGTACTCGCTTTATGAATTTTCGGTGCTCCATAAAACTGGTCTTACTGTAATGAGGTGTAATTAATTTTATTTCATATGTTAAAAGTCTTTAAACTTAAATAAAACTCTATTTATCCAGTTTTCCAAAGTCTTCGTAGGATCCTTTGTTAATTTGGTATAAGATCCGTTTGTTATTAGGTCTTTATATATTATCGTTTCGTTAGGATTCATGCCGGTCCATTCACATATCGTTCAAATAAATCAATCATTCTTATATTTATTAGTAGTCGGGCCTGTATTGTTGTTATTGTTTCTAATTATATTCGCTTATCATTCAATAATATAAACAAGTTAATATTCTAATGTACTAGAACAAAATGCATTTTACTGTAAATTAAATTACTACCTAAGTGTCTAAGTCTAAGGCTCATCACATCATTATCAGCACACACTTTAATACTTGGCGATTCTGCCATATATACACTTTAGCAGCACACGCTTTAACACACTAGGAAGATCAAAAATGTAGTGTTGTTGCTTCTATCTAGAGGTCTTAGGGCAATTCTGGATTCAGAAATCATTCATATTCAATTGAATTGAGCCGTAATTGAAATTTTCTGTAATTCTTTTGTAGCACTAATGATCAAATCTCAGTCAGACTTTGTTATACTGCCACAGAACATTTTTTTGTGTGTAAACACTTACCTATTCCTCTCATTATGTTTACTTTTAGCGTTAAATTATACTATTCATTAGTAGTGAGACTGAGTTTTTATTCAAAATTCTTTTTACTGATATGAATGAGAGATTTTCCTTAAAAGCACGATATTTGTGACTAAATGTTACCTATCGCTGCCAGTAATTTCTCTAGTGTTAATGATGTAGGCATGCTAATATCGGATAATGATAGATGCTATGCAGGCTTTATAAAAAATGTTTTCTACTTCCCTGCTTACATAATTGAAGAGTGGCCGAGCTAAGTGATCTAAGTGCCAAAACATAAATTTGTTTTTTTTTTTCAATCAATATGATATATGTTCCGATGACAGTATTCCCCTATGAGATCTAAGTGCCAACTTCACTCAAGTGGTTGCAAACGAAACCCAAAGATTGAGCCGCCTAAAGACCTACATCATGTACTTTGCTAATTGATCTAAGTGCCAGTATTTGCTATGTGCAAGTACTTGGAGGGGATACGAGAGACGATCGTGCGAATGACGGTGCAATAAACCCGGAGGTCAGCAAACCCAATCAACAGTTTTCGGCATTTAATTTTTATCTAAAAGAAATAATATTGTAATTAAATTCAGTTATTTTCAATCAATAAAGTAGTGCAGTATAGTTGTAAAAGTTAATAAAGGATCTTTTTAAAAAGTACCTTCGCGAGTTTAAACCTTTAAGTTGCGCGTGCAGCGGTGAAATCTTACATCTTTCGCAGCTAACAAAACGTTACCATATTTCATAAACACAGCCGCCGCCGGTCAGGTGAAGTAGGTGAAGGTGAGGCTCCACAAAAAAATTTAATTAAATTGGGACAAATAAATAAAAAATAAAAGCAACATTATTATATCTATTTCTGAAATCAATTATTTATTCTCTTTTCATTAATCTAAAAATTAAAAAAGATAGCTAGCTTTATTAGCGGTGCGGTAATTACTTGACGGTCAAGTCCTGACCTGTGTCACTTACTGTGTATGATTCAGGATCGGTGAATATCATTTTTGAAATGCGAAATTCATCTGCACAAGTGTTCACGGTTGCTATGACAACGAGACGTCAGCCTGTCGCTAGTAATAGTTGAGAAAAATAGCTTAGTGCAGTTCCGTGTTCCGTTAAAAAATATATTATCCGTCTTCATCAACTGGCCACTAGTTGCATGGGTACCTATTTAGTACTCGCAGCGACAATATTTAGAAATTTAGTCTATTATATAACTATACATTTTTTTAACGAATTTTTAATGAAATTTGGGCGCGACGTAGGTACCAAAACTCCTTTTGGCTCCGGCAAGCTTTTCTCATGGGA